CCCCAAAACCCCAAAACCCCAAGAAGCAAAAATTTAATATTTTGATCGATATATTATATTTTAATTACCTTCTTAAATAAATTATTTACAATATAATCTAGTAATCACATTTCCATCCCTGATTTTAATTTATAAAAATAAGAATCTTCATCATCTGATAAACCTTAGAATGTTCCTTATTCTACCATTTTTCCATTATGTAAGACACATATCAAATCACAATTTCTTATCGTGCTTAATCTATGGGCAATAACTATACTTGTCCTGCCAATCATAGCTTTTTCAATAGCAATGTTTACTAATTCTTGTGATTATTCATCTAGAGCAGATGTAGCTTCATCAAGAATTAAAATTTTAGGATCTTTAATTAATGCTCTTGCAATTGCTATTCTCTACTTTTATCCACCTGAAAGCAAAGATCCTTTCAGTCCACATTTCTTATTAAATCCTTAGGAAAGCTCTTTTTTAATCATTTTTTAGTCTTATTATCTATTTCCATTATCAAAAGACGGTTGTACTAGTTCATGCTGTGAAGAAAAAGAAGCGAACATAAAATTTTAGTCTTAGTTTTCACTGAAATTTTCTATGAATTATAGAGCATTAGCCATTTCAGCAACTTCTCTAACTTTTTCATCCGATGCCTCATCTATTCCATAGGTAATGTTTTCCTTTATGGAGACATTGAAGAGTAAAGGTTCTTACATAACATACCCAATAGAGTTCCTCAAGGAATTCACATCATATTCTTTTATATTTTGTCCATCTATTAGTATGGATCCTTCTTCATAATCATAAAGTCTGAGCAATAGATTTGCGATTGTACTTTTGCCAGAACTAGAATGACCAACCAGAGCTACTTTAAACCCTATTGGTATTTTAAGTGAAAAGTTATTCAGAACTTTCTTGTCTCTTGAGGGGTATTTGAAGCTTAAATTTTTGAATTCTATTTCTCCTTATTTTACGAATTCTTTTTATTTATAGTTTGCTACTTGTCTTGAGCTATCGTGATTATTATCTATTTGTTGACTTTCAATGATCTTAAAGATCTTATTGGCTGCCTATTTTGATTTAGATCTTGAAGGTAATTATGATATCAAAGAACCAGTACCGATAGCAGAAACAAACAGTGTATAAACACCAACATAGGTATCCTCTGGTTCATCATTGTACTCAAAGATGAAGACTGAAGATAGATAGAAGATAAATGCGATGAAAAGAAATCTTATGCATTGAGAATATCCGTATATTATTCCTGATATATGCGCATGCTTGATATCCATTCGTTTTGGTTCTTCGAGTAAATCTTGATATTTTTATACCAAATAGTTAACATTCTTTTCTCCAAGACTGACAACAGTTTTATAGTTTATTATTATATCTGACAGAAGAGCATTAGCCTTGTCATAGTGATTTAGTTACTCTCCTGAATCTTTTACTGACTTAGTTGAGCTATTAACTGAATTCCAAACTATTATTTATTCAGCCATACCTCCCAGTATTATGAATGGTACCATAGTTACTGTAACTAAAGCCATTTTCCAAGTATTCAGAAAGGATAATGCAATACCTATTATAAGGCATAATAATGCTTCAAGTATTAGTGCATATGTCTAACTAGTTAATCCTTTTAGTTAAGATACATCTGCTTAGAGCATGCCACTTAAGATACCAGGAGCCCTCTCCTTTTAATCATACCATTCTATATTTTAACGAATCATTGAAGAAAAGAGTTTTTTCTTAATCGTTAAAGCTAAGTTTTCACCAAGCTAAGAATGCAATATCCTATTTAAATACTCAAATATTCCCATTCCTACAGCTAAGGCTATAAATGCTCCGCACCAAATATTTCTATTGATAACGAAAGTTGGAGATGCTCTGCCTAGCATTACAAAAATGACTTTTGAAAATATATAGCCGTATAGAGGAAAGGCAAAAGAATTACAGCATGTTGCAATGAAAGTCAAGAACACTTTGGAATAAGGTTTGTAAAATTTCATGATATGCTTCCCGCCATATTCCTTTGGTAATATATCCTAGGATTAGTTTGGCTTAATGATTTCTTGGCTTTCTTCTCTTAATATGCACTTGGAATCATTTAAACTATTGCTTATTAAGTCTCTACTTGTTTTTAGTTTGTGAAATTAAATTTCAAATTCTTAAGGTCCTTTTTCTAGAATTTATTGTTTAAATGGAGAAGGAGATTATATTGAACTAGACTCAAATTATTAATTTTTTAATTCTAATTTCTCAATTACTTCTTCATAAATCTTAGTTCCCTTAGAAGCTTGATTTATTTTGTGATCTTTATCAAGTATAATTAGATTGTCAGCTGCTATTATTGTTTGAATTCTATGAGCTATTATGATGATAGTTAGTTTATTATCTGATTTCTGAATATTTTTCAAAGCAAGTTAGACATCTTTTTCACTTTTAGGATCAAGAGCACTAGTAGCTTCATCTATAATTAAAATTTAAGGTTTCTTTATCAAGGCTCGTGCAATGGCGATTCGCTATTTCTAACCCCCCGACAAATTTATTATATTTGAAGAGCCAACATAGGTTTCAATTTAGTGCTCAAGTGAATATACAAAATCAGCATTTGCCATAGCAATTGCGTCATCTATATCTTTTTACGAAGCATCTTTATTCCCTAGCAGAATGTTATGTCTAATAGTTCCCATAATTAGTATAGGCTCTTGTTAAACATAGCCAATAGATTCTCTTAGAGTTTTTAAATCTATGTTTTCTATTTCAAGGTTATCGAAATAAATTTTTCCATTTTATTTCAAATAAAACCTCTCTATTAATTAGATAATAGTACTTTTTCCTGAGCCTGAGTTTCCAACTATAGCCGTTGTTTTATTACCTTCAATTGTAAATGATGCATCTTTCAAAGTAACTTAACTTGCTTTCTAATACTAGAAGGTTACAGATTCGAATTTTATTCCATTATTAAGCGTAAGCTCTTAAATAGTGTCTTATTCAAATTTTTTATGTTTTGGGGCTTGATCAATTATATCATATATTTGACGCCCAACCACTCTTGCTTTTACTATCCCTTAGATACTGGGACTTATTTAGAATATCATAGTTGTACAATTCATGAAAGCAACTATAACTGAGATGATTTATCCAGTGGTATAGTCTTTACCAGTGCTAGGATTAGTGATATTATATTGAATAAAAATTGTGCCTAAATATGAGTTAAACCCATAGAAACCGAAAATAATAAATTTTAGTAATCCAATAAATGCGGAAGTCCAATTTTCAGATTTATCAGAATGATTCTTAGCTTGTTCTGCTAATTTTTCAAATTTTCTTATTTCCTTATCCTCTTTTGAAAATGAAACAATTAATTTTATTAACACTAAACTTTCTTCTACGACCCTCCAAGTTGTTATAAAATGGACTGCTGATTCTACGAAGTTTTCTAAACTTTCTAACCAAAGAGAACAAGAATAAATAGAAGGATTGGAAAAACAACTAAAAATATTCCTGCTAAATCAGCACCTGATATTAGTGCTATAACTATTGCTGAAATAATATTGCTGACTGTAAATATTATCCCTGAGAACTTTGATCCTATCGATTCTTATATAATAGAAAAATTCTCCCCTAATTGAGAAGGAAGTTATTCAATATTCATATTATCCAAAATATATATTTCCTGCTTCAGTAAAGCATTCAAGTATTCAGATCTCAGTTTAAAGGTGATATTGCTTGCAACATGCTGCCAAAATCCAAAGTAGATATAGCCGAATATCCACGTACCAAATCCAAGTAATGCAATTTACAATGAGACAGTATTCATAGCTTCTTTAATTTTTTCTGGAGTGTTACTGGGCTCAAACGTATTAGCGAGTTCTCCGCTTAAAAGAGCAAAAATTGGCAGTAATATTCCTGTAACAACTGCTGAAAATGTTCCAATCGATATAAGTATCTTATCTTATTTCGTGAGATTTCGAAAGAATCTACTAAATTCAATCATTGACATATAGAGAAATGCTAGTTGCGAAAAGTTTATAAAAAAATAATAAAAAAATATAATAATTCAAGAAGATCATGATAACATGCTTATTCTAATTTTATTAAATCATTTTCATCATATATTCGATTATACCTCATAGACTATATACGATGGATTTACGGGGTTTTGGGGTTTTGGGG